CCTCGCGGAAACACTAGCAGCACTGTAGTGACTAGGAGTGATATATGAGAAATTCTTAGCTTATTACTTAAAAGTGAAAAAACACAATATCTCACCATTACAATTTAATATATCTGATCAGTATTTCAATGTACCCCTTTTCACCAACTACTCACAGTACAAGAAAATCAATGAATCGATAAGGTAGTAAATCCCAAACAAGATCCATGTCTGTAATCTGCATCTTAACATGCCTCTTATTACTGATCGCCTAAAGCGTAAGGCATGAGCAAATCAATGAATCAATAAATCAATATAAAAGCAAGCGATATTACTTATGAAATGCATCTTAATTTTCCTTTCTATTCGCTGTGCCTTGATAGAAGTTTGCCTGATCTTCTTGTAACAGTAGGTTGTGCATCAGTGTACTACCTGCCATGCTATATACACCATAGTGTAAGGTCCATGAATAATGCTTTTTTCCATGGAAAGTATGCTGCATATGCCGCACAGCCATCGTGCCATCAATCGTGGAAACTAAAAAAGTAAGGTTTATACAGAGTTAGTGTATAATGACAATCCGACTAGGCATCCACGTATCCTTAATATTGTAAGCGTAACTTCCCCTTGTCTTCTAGAACCACCTGCGTACCATGGTACCCATCCAGCTTACACCTTTTACAGGTCGCGATAGTGAAGATCTATGCTTAGTTTTGCTTTTTGCAACTATCAACTTGAATGCGTAAATCCTATCACCAACTTTATTCATCTATGTAGCAGCGTTGTGCTTCTGCAAATTGCCGGTTCATCTTGCTATTTAACTTTCCGATTTCAAATAAAAAGTGCTGTGTACAATGCAAGGCATCAACTGCACCTTATAAAGGTGCTAAGACCACCTTGAAACCCTTATCGCACTTTCAACGTAATAATACGAAAACGAGATTACTGATATTTCTCAATAACATAACTCCACACAATACGTTTGAATTCCAAAAATTGGAAAAGTGTAGATCAATTGATGAACTTCACAATTATAAGCAAATTTGATATTATGACCCACATAAATTCTGAAAGCTCATAATGTCCTCTATTTTCCATAATTTTATTATGCCATAGCACGCAGCTACTTTTACACTAACACTGGAATGGTAGGCAATACATATTTGAAGGGGAAGGACTAAGTTCAAACTTTAATATGCTGTGAAGCCCATAAGCATGAAGGTAAATACGATGCGGAATTTCCCAAGGCATGTTTTAAGCAAACCATACAAAAGCTCCACTATGAATAGAAAATGTGAAGCTTAAATATCTACACATCGGAACATCAGTGCCCCTTAGTTTTCCA